TCGGGCTCCCTGCTTGGCAGGGAGTCTGCTTCGCCCTCTGACCCTCCCCCCTCTCATGTGGTTTCTCTCTCTCTCAAATAAATAAATAAAATCTTAAAAATAAAATAAAATCTTTAAAAAAAATAAAGATGTGCAACTTAAAATGTTAGGTCAGTGATATGTGCATACATATATACACACAGATGTAATAAGTATACGTGCCCATTTTTTTCTTACTATTGTAATCATAATCATTTTTCCTATATTTTCTCTTTAAACATTTTTGATGATTCTATAATATTTCATTGTATGGATAGACTGTAGTATACATGACCATTTATTTCTTTATGATTGGACATTCTGAGTATTTCTTTTTTACTATTATAAATAAGATGGTTATGAGTATTAATGTGTATAGCTCTTTTCTGCATTGGAGATTCTTTCTTTATTATAGATTTCCCAAAAGTGATATTTTGAGTCAGGATATAAATTTGATTAAATTCCTTGTACTTTTTGCTTAATTGGTGCCCCGGGGGATACGATGTGTATTAACACAGTCCTTCCAGAAATCCATGTAAGCAAGTGCTGGTTTCCCTCATCAGTGTTGGTGCTTTTGCTTTCTTTATTACCACCTTTTAAAACTTGTGACAAGTTGAGAAATATATTGGAAAGGTTGTTTTCCTATAAGAAACAGACTCTTTAAGTGCTGTCTTTTCTTCATAACTATAATTAATGTAATTGTGTAAGAACAAAAAGTCTACCAGAAACATGAAGTTTATGGAAACATGAGACTATGGTACATTAGGTCTTCTCCTAGGATTAGAACCCATATTTATTCTTTTTTTTTTTTAAAGATTTAATTTATTTATTTGAGAGCGAGATAGCGAGAGAGAGCATGAGCAGGGGATGGGGAGACAGAGGGAGAGGGAGAAGCAGACTCCCCATCGAGCAGGGAGCCCGACATGGGGCTCGATCCCAGGACCCTGGGACCATGACCTGAGCCGAAGGCAGACGCTCAACGACTGAGCCACCCAGGCGCCCCACCCATATTTATTCTTGATGGTGGTAGGCCTTTTGTGATCCAGGAATGAAATAGATGTTTCTTTCTTTTTTTTTTTTAAAGATTTTATTTATTTATTTGACAGAGAGAGGCACAGCGAGAGAGGGAACACAAGCAGGGGGAGTGGGAGAGGAAGAAGCAGGCTTCCCGCCGAGCAGGGAGCCCGATGCGGGGCTCGATCCCAGGACCCTGAGATCATGACCTGAGCCGAAGGCAGACGCTTAACGACTGAGCCACCCAGGCACCCCTGAAACAGATGTTTCTAATAAGAATCAGTATTTTTTCCATTGTTTAGTTTGTTCATGCAGGGTTTTTTCGCTTATTTGCTTTTAATATATATGCAAGATTTGATTGCTATGTCTGATTAGAAATAGATCTAAAGCAATAGGAAAGAAGGTAATTGTGGTCTTATGATATGCATAGGTCCTATGTTGACTTTATGTAACAATATATTTTTTAGTATAGTATTATTTTCCCTTACCTAACAATAATAGCTGTGTAGTTGTTCAAAAAATCCAGAAGTCTTAAGAAAGAAAATCGAAAAGAAAGCCTTCTGATCTGCTAAAGTAGCTATCGTAGAGCACCTGCATTAAAGTCCTGTGCTTTCCTTGTGGTCCCTTAGAACTTCACTCAGAGCACATTTAAACTTTTGCCTCTATTGCCCGCTTTATAATTATAACCCTATTGGAACTATTGCCTGACTTTTGGTTATGCATAGGTTAGCCGATGAATTACATATGCCATCTCTCCCTGAAATGATGTTTGGAGACAACGTTTTAAGAATCCAGCATGGCTCTGGCTTTGGGATTGAGTTCAATGCTACAGATGCATTAAGATGTGTTAACAACTATCAAGGAATGCTTAAAGTAGCCTGTGCTGAAGAGTGGCAGGAAAGCAGGTGAGAATCTGGGCAATTACAGGTTAAATGAAAAAGAAGAGTTGAAAGAAATCTTCAGTCATGATATGTGTATTTTATTTGAGTGAAAGGCAAGTATTATTACACTTGATAGTTGGATCATTCTCGGATTCATTTTTCTCATCCATAAAATGGAGATTAGTTACTCCACCTCTTGAATTGAATTCACTTGAATTACAGTTGAGCTGAGCTATGTAAGGTTTACATTTTTGAGCTTTCAGTGTTCTTTAGTGAAGAGGGAGTATACTCTGTACTTTTATTGTTCCTGTTTTTGAAGAAAAATGGTTACTTGTAATTTGCATTGTAAATGTGAGGAGCATTGAAATAGAGAAAAATGTATTTTCTTTGATAATCAAATCAGCAATTATTTACTTTGTGCCTATTATGTACTAGGTACCTTGGAGGAAAGAAAGAAGTACAAGCCTTTAAACCATGTCCTTAGGCAGTATACAGACTAATTGGAAAGACTCTATCAGCATATGACAAGTTTAATAACAATAAATATGCAGAAAAACCAAGAAAGATCTTATATTAGTGAATTATAACAAGTATATGTATTTATTAGGATATTTGTATTATTTGTAGAATGTAATTTGGTGTGATATATGAATACAGATGATCTATATTCTGCATCATTAAATCTGATCCTTCTCATTTTGATATTTGAGGACGGAGGGTGAACACTCCAAAGAAGTTATTAAACCATATGATTGGACCTATACAACAGATTATAAGGGAACATTACTTGGAGAATCACTTAAGTTAAAGGTAAATCTTATTTTTTGCTTTTATGATAAAGTCATTAATGGTCTTGCACAGTCTCAGCATTAGAACTTTCTAATAATGGCTTATTTTTGCTACTACTTTCATCCCACTTACTTTCTATTGAGGGAAGCTTCAGAACCTAATGTGAAGGGATTTTCCTTCTTGATTATAAATAGAAAATAAGAAGGCCATAGGGGAACAATTTTTATTCTCAAAAGTTTGTTTAGTAGCAATAGCAAACTGCCTTAATGTTATCATTATCACTCTCAAGAAGCATTAAAATGTGTATCTGCCCTTAGTGTAATGAATTAGGTGATTTAGACAGAACCTGCCAGTTAGTAGCTTACAGTTTTACGGGTGAACAGGCAGGTGGGCAGATAGGACTTTCGGTCAGACAGTTTAGGTTTTTGTCCCGCTTGCTCTGTCTGTGAACCTGGTATGACTCTAGGCAAGTTACTTACTCTGAGTCTCAATTTTATTAGTAAACTGGGGAAACAGAAATAGTGACCTCAACATCAGAGGTTTGATATGAGCTAATTTGTGGGAAGGCTTTCGATAAATTCTAAAGCTCCATGTTAATAATGCATCTGTGTAAACCATGCTTAAGAAGAGATTCACTTCGTGGTGAATGATGCCGGGAAAGTGGAATTGGTAGGTGTCATATTGGGAACTTAGCTGCATTTTGACACCCTACAATTTGAAATGAAGAAAATTTGGCTTAGGCTGCATGTCTCTATCACATTCAATTACAGAGAACAAAATTATTTTAGTGTAAATAAAGTAATTATTGGAGACCCTCTATCATATGTTGGTGCCTGGGCGGAAATGTTAAGGAGATAGAGCTGTGTATGGACTCCTTGTCTCTGCAGAGATTTTTAGAGTCTTGGGAAGACAGAAGTTCATAGCAGGAACTCCATTCTCTTCATTTTCTTCCACTCCTATAATCCAAGCTTTAACTATTTTTCTCCGCTGCTTCCAAGACAAATACACATTTTTTGAGAGAACATGTATGCATTCATTCATTCATTCACTCTACTCACTCACACACTCATTCATTCTTGAACTCTTCCCCTGAGCTAGGCACTAATCTAGGAGCTGTGGATACAGCAGAGAACAGACAAAAATCCCTCTGTTACAGTCTAATGGGGAGCAAGGTTTTTCAATCCCTTAATACTTCATAGATTAATGTTCTCCTTTCTTCTCCTGAGTTTAAAACTTTATAAAGAACATAGTTCATTTGATATTTCATTGCTGGGAGTGAGGAAATGGGAACTCGTTTTAACTCTTTGTAGGAATGATGACTTACAAAAAGCCTCCTATGGGTTATGAAGTAGCATTAGCTGTTACCAATGAGCAAGAAACACAGCAGTAGAAACAGGGCGTTTGAGAGTTGTAGGAGGTGAAAAGCGTGTGTTCAGTACTCTTACTGACACTTTAACCTGTAATGTAATTTGTTCTGAGGTGTTGTTGACAAATGTCAGTGTGATCACCCCTCACTGGCGGTAATGAGCTCAGGCTTTGGCAGGCCTGGGTTCAAATCCCAGCACCATCACTTAACTTGGAAAAGCAATTTAATCTTGCTAAACATTGTTTCTCACTTTGGTAAACTGGATAATAGCAGTCGTAAGGTATTAAGAATACATATGTGAAGTGTTTAGCAAGGTGTCTGTTCCACAGCACAATCTCCATAAATGGTAACTGCTATTATTATTATGATAATATCATATCTCAAATGTCAGGAAAACTAAGTTAATATTATTGAAATAACAAGACTAAAATATTAGACTAGATATATACCAAGATACTATAGAAAAATATATATTAAGTATTATTGAAATACCAAGACTAGATATATTGTCTAAATATTTATTTTTGCCTTACGGTCTAAACAGAGTTGATGAATATGTTCCTTTATTGCCTTAAAAAATTGAGTAACCATTTTCTAGGCAAAATTGTTAGAACTTTGTTGCTTAATCCTCAAAATAACCTTGTGTCATAGGCATTCTTATCCTCATTTTGTGGATGAAGAAATGGGTTCAAGATCTTAAAGTAGGTTTCTCTTAGTAGCATAATACCAATGCTGTAGCTTATTGTTAAGGATGTTTGTTGTATGTGGAAGATCACTCCATTGGAACATTTTTTGCATTTGGCTTTCTTGATACCTAAGGATTTTTTTTGCCCTATAATATTACTTGGGACTTTAAGTTATTCAATTCTTCCACCCTTTCTGAAAACAAAAGCCCTGGTGTGTATAGGAAGTATATGCCTGTGGAGGAGAATATATTTTATATAAATGGTAAAAATGTCAGAGAATGAGGCATTAGAATGAAGCCTTTTTTTTTTTTTGCCCTTAAATTCTTGCCTTTTAATTGCCGGGGGCTGCTGCTGGTGTGTGTCTAGTGTTTTCTCACTCTTTTTGTGTTGTTTTACCTATTACTCTGTGAGTTGTAGCGTAGTGCAAGAGAAGAGAGCCAGTCATAGAGTTGTACTGGCTGGATTCAAATCCAGCTTTGCTGTTTATTAGCTGGGCCACCCTCAGAACACCTCCGAGATTATGGTGTAGGAATGTTATGAGGTCAGGGGCGCCCGGGTGGCTCAGTCGTGAAGCATCTGCCTTCGGCTCAGGTCATGATCCCGGGGTCCTGGGATTGAGCCCCGCATTGGGCTCCCTGCTCTGCGGGGAGCCTGCTTCTCCCTCTCCCACACCCCTGCTTGTGTTCCCTCTTTCGCTGTGTCTCTGTCAAATAAATAAATAAAATCTTAAAAAAAAAAAAAGAATGTTATGAGGTCAGGTGCCCAATATGTACCTGGCAACATGTGGTCATTTTCTTCATTCTTGTTAAATAAATGACTTCGCAGGAGAATAGAAGTGGAAGACTGCCTCTTCAAGTTGTATTGCCTTTTAGGAATAAAACGTGTATAATGTCCATGCATTTAAAAAAGCTTTTTTTTAAAAGATGTATTTATTTATTTGAGAGAGAGTGAGAGAAAGAGAGAGTGTGAGCCGGAGGAGGGGTAGGGGGAGAGGGAGAGAGAGAATCCTTAAGCAGACTCCTCGCTGAGTCTGGAGCCTGACACAGGACCCTGAGATCATGACCTAAGCTGAAACCAAGAGTCAGATGCTTAACTGACTGAGCCACCCAGGCGCCCCTAAAAAAAGCATTCTTTTTAAAAGCATGTTGGAACATTTGCCAGCTTATTCAGTGTGATTTAATATTTTGAGCTTTCTCTCTCTCTTTCTTTTTTTTTTTTTTTTACTGTGGTAAAAAAACATACAACAAAATTTACCATCTTAACAATTTCTGTATAAAGTTAGTGTTAAGTATATTCATGTTGTTGTGCAACCAATTTCCAGGACTTTTTCATCTTGGAAAACTGAAACTCTGTCCCTGTTAAACAATAACTCCCCATTTCCTCCTCCCCCAGTCCCTGGCAACCACCATTCTATTTTCTGTTTCTATGAATTTGACCACTCTAGATACTTCAGATAAGTGGAATTATACAATATTTGTCTTTTCGTGACTGGCTTATTTCACTTAGCATATTGTCCTCAAGGTTCATCAACATAATGCGTGTCAGACTTTCCATGCTTTTTAAGGCTGAATAATATTTCTGTATATGTATATGCCATATTTTGTTTACCCACTCATTTGTCAGTGAGCATTTGGGTTGCTTGTCCTTCGCTATTGTGAATAGTGCTGCTATGAACAGAGGTGTGCAAATACCTCTTTGAGATTCTGCTTATAGTTTTTTGGATATATACCCAGGAGTGGAATTGCTAGATCACACAGCAATTCTATTTTTAATCTTTTGAAGAACCTCCATACTGTTTTCTACAGTAGCTGCCCATTTTACATTCCCATCAGCAACATATGAGGGATTTTAATTTGCATTTCTCTAATGATTAGTGATGTTGAGCATCTTTTCATATGCTTATTGGCCATTTTTATATCATCTTCAGTATCTTAAGCTTTTCAAAGTACATTTTTAGGGAGAAATGTGCAGACTTAAACATTGGAAACAAATGGGCTTTGTTAAGTCTAAAGGCAGAAGGAACTGCACATAAGTATTGTACCCTAGTTGATAAAGTTATTTTTCACAGGGGTATGGGTTAACAATTCTAATAATATTTCAGTTTTGCAAGATGAAGAAGTTCTAGAGATCTGTTTGACAACAATGTGAATATAGCTACTGAATTGTATGCTTAAAATGGTTAAGATGGTAGATTTCATGTTACATATTCTTGGCTGCAATTAAAAGAAAAAGTTAAACATAGAGTTACCATATAAGCCAGCAATTCAACCTCCCCCCCGCTCCCTGGCATACACTCAGGAGAATTGAAAAACCTATACCCATGCAAAAACCTGTACCCAGCTGTTCAGGGCAGCATTATTCATAGTAGCTAAAATGTGGAAAACACTCAAATAATCATCTGTGGATAAGTAGAACTGGTGTATCTAGACAGTGGAATATTATTTGGCCTTGAAAAAGGAGTGAAGTGCTGCTACATGCTGCAACACGGACGAGCCTCGGAAACATGCTAAGTGAAAGAAGTCAGACACAAAACACGCGTGTGTGATTCCAGAATAATTTGCAAAAGAGACAAATCTATAGAAACAGAAATGAGAGTAGTGGTTTCCAGGGGCTAGGGGAAGGGGGGAATGGAGAGTTACTGCTAATAGGTATGGGGGTTTCTCTTTGGGGTGATGCAGTGTTCTAGAGTTAGTGGTGAGGACTGCACAATCCTGTGAAAATACTAAAAACCACTGAATTCTACACTTTCAAAGGGTGAATTGTATAGTATGGAAGTTCTATCTTCACTTAAAAAAAATCACCATATAACAGTAATTTCACTAATGGTATGTACCATAGAAACAAAAAGAAAAAATTTTTCTTATATATATTATATATATGTGAAGATAAATATGTATCTTATGTGTGTATATAAACACACACATGCACTACTTTCAATAATTTTTATTTTTTTTTAAAGATTTTATTTATGTATTTGACAGAGAGAGACACAGCGAGAGAGGGAACACAAGCAGGGGAGTGGGAGAGGGAGAAGCTGACTCCCAGCAGAGCAGGGAGCCCGACGTGGGGCTCGATCCCAGGACCCTGGGATCCTGACCTGAGCCAAAGGCAGACGCTTAACGACTGAGCCACCCAGGCGCCCCTTTTCAGTAATTTTTAAAGAGGAAATTTTTTTTTTTTTTATTAGAGAAAGAGACTACAAGCAGGGGTTGCGGCAGGCAGAGGGAGAGGGAGAAGCAGGCTCCCCACTCAGCAGGGAGCCCAACACAGGGCCCGATCCCAGGACCCCGGAATCATGACCTGGGCCGAAGGCAGCTGCCCAACCGACTGAGCCACCCAGGCGCCCCTAAAGAGGAAATTTTTTAAAAGGAAGTTTAGCATAGGGTTCTTAGCATTTACCATTAATTAACTTTATATAATAAATTAATAAATATTTATAAGTCAAATAATTTCCTTATTGTAAACCTCAATCTGATGTGAAGGAGGTCTTATTTGAAAGATGTGAATGGGACTCACTTTTCTTGTAAGGTATTAAGAATGTTTATAGTGTTCATATGTTTTTTAAGCCTTTTAAAGATTGTGAAATAACTCTGAAAACATGAAGGTACAGTTTAATGAATTGTGAAAGGTAGCCACCAAGGAAAAGAAAGAAGATGTTGCGAGCACCCTCCAGCAGGACTCTTCCTGATCATAATTCTTTTTTTAAAATATTTTGACCTTAGCTTTTAGTTCCTTAAAACTAGTGTGCATTGTTGTTTTACAGCTTGGGCCTCATTTTCAAAATCTGGAGTCCCTAGGGTCTTTTATTATCTTGTTATTTCTGTTGGTTCTGGTTTATAGTGTCTAGACTCCTAATATGTCTCATTTTTGTTAAAATCCCAGGATGATGATATTTTTCTCCAGAGAGGATTTTTGTTATTTCTGACAGGTACCTGAGGGTATTCATAGTCAAGGACATAGTTCTACAAACTTTCTGGAAAGATAGCAAATTTTTTTTTTTAAAGATTTTATTTATTCATTTGACAGAGAAAGACACAGCGAGAGAGGGAACACAAGCAGGGGGAGTGGGAGAGGGAGAAGCAGGCTTCCCACGGAGCAGGGAGCCCGACGCGGGGCTCGATCCCAGGACCCTGAGATCATGACCTCAGCCGAAGGCAGACACTTAACTACTGAGCCACCCAGGCGCCCCAAGATAGCTAATGTTTTATGTAGGCTTTGAGGGTTATAGAGTCTACGTTGCGGCTGCTCAGCTGCGCTATTATAGTTGAAAGCAGCCATAGACGACAAGTAAATGAATGGTCATGGCTTTGTTTCAGTAAAATTTTACTTAGGGACATGGAAATTTGAGTTTCATATAGTGAAATATATATGAATTCATATATGTGTTCATATAATGAATTTGAATTTCATGTGTCATGAAATATTCTTTTTTTAACTTAACTGCTTTTTCCAATCATTTAAAAAATGTAAAAATGATTCTTAGCTCACAATTCATGCAAAAATAGGTGATGGGCCACATTTGGCCACATCTGGCCTACAGGTCTTAGTTTGCTAACCTCTGGTTTGGGACCAGAGTTTGAGGTTTCTACGCCTGTAATATAAGAAGTTGTGAAACCAGTGTAGTATTATAGGGTATCATCCCAAAATTGGGAGGGGCACAGGGAATTCTCCAAGGTCCCTGTCCTTCGTGAGCACTGAGCAGTGATGGAGCCAAAAAACAGCAGAGCCCAGCCTGTCCCCTGGATCAGCCATTCCAGATGCCTCCAGGCCCCAACCAGCCAACTACAGGCTCACTTGCACTTTTTCTGGGCTCCACTCCTTTTTTAGGTCTCAGTCCAGTAATTCTTCTGCATCTTGACCATTTGATGTTTTTAAGAAGTTTTTGTTTTTTCATTCAGCTTTTAAGTTGTCTTCAGCAAGAGGATTTGTCTGGGTTACTTATTCTGACAATACTAGAAGCCAGAAGTGTTTGGTCTGTTTTCAATTGAGCTGTTGGTTTTGTTTTTTTTCCCCCTTTCTTTTCAGATGCCTGAGTTTAGGGAGGACATAAATAGAGTTGAGGTAGAGAAAATATGTTTTAAACATATTTGTCCTTGCAAATGAAGAAGATAGTATAGATAAATTAAATATAATGAACATCCCTAACCCATGTTTTATCTAATTATTTTCTGTCTTTCTCTTTCAAGTATTTTGTAAGAACGAGTAAATGGCAAACAGATTCATTTTTATCAGTCCCTTGTGAAGGTATATATGAAACATTAGTGAAGTAGCCATTTACTAATGAGAAAATGGATATAATGATTGGTTAATTTTTTTGAAGTCAGATGTTTTTATAAGGAGGATCTTACAAATGTGTTCCTTTGAACTAAAGCTAAGTAAAAAGTAGGGAACTTAGAAGTTGTGTTTATACTGACTGAAGTTTTATGCTCTTGGCAGTCCTAGAAGCACCGGCTTTTGTCTTAAATAGAATACAGACATGCAGGTGACACAGGGCGCTGGGTATGTTGCTCTTTCGCCGCCCCTCACCTCTCTTCCCACTCCCAGTTTTCACCTTTGTATGTGGTCTCAGGTCTGCTCCAGACACATTTTGGAAAAAAATTGCAGCAAGCTAAAGCGTTATCTGTGAGCGAACGTGGAAGAACTCTGGACATTTTTTTTCACCTCTTGGGACTCCTGTGCACACTGCTACTTGTCATCATAATCTCTTCCCCCTACATCACATAATACTCCTTTAAACTATTCCCCCGCCCCAATTCATGTAGTCTCTTGAACATCCTTTATCATATTCTTCTAATTCTTGTCCAGTTTTCTCAAACTACTCTCCGTTTTGTAATTCTGTCCATGAGTCAGATTACCTCATCATGGCTACTGAGGAAAGTAAAATAATAGCTGCCATTTACTGAACACCTGTGGTTTGACAAGCATTGTTGTGTGTATTTATGATACAACTATGTCAAAGAATAGAAAAGCTGAATATTTTTTAGTGAAATTGGGTGGAGTAAAGAATGCTATCTCAGATCCTACTCTATAGCTGTTAGGAGATGCTTGGACTTAGTAAGCTACTGATATGATTTGCCTTGTTAACATTGTTGATGCTCTTGTTGGGTTGTGAATATGTGTGTCCGTGAGCTACAAAATAATACAGTGAAGAAATAGCCAGCATCTTCTTTTTTTTTTTTTTTTT